AATTACGATTATCACAATTTACATTGAATGATGTTTATACCATTGTTTGATGCAACTGCATGCCGTATTTTTTAATATGAAAATAAACAAGCTGAAAACACTCTAACTGAAAAACTTTTAGTGCTTTTCTATAGTATTAAGCCTCAGATGTCAACTATACAGCGGATTGGTTTCTTTAAATTATAAAAAAGTAAAAATATGAATGGTATTATAATGTTATACTAAAACTAAAATTAAAATAATGGGAAAAACCCTTAAGATAACACGTAGAAAGAAAAAAGCGCATCTTAAGCACGCAGAATAACATAAGTGGACTTTGAACGATTAATTGACGCTTTGAACGATTTACGTAATTGTGGCATCCATAATTGTAATCACTATTAGAAGTTCAATTAATTGTGCAGCCCTACTTTCCTAGATGTAACTTGAGAGTGTTGTATATTGCTACATGCGTGTGAGTGATTTTTTTTTTTTGTGTGTGTGCTGAAATTGCATCAGCTTGCTATTTATCAGATTAGACAAGCATGCTCCTCTCAGGCATGTGCAGCTCTTAGCTGTGGTTCTGTGGTTTTGGCTACCTACATACATGGTTTTTACCCTGAGGGCTGTGGGCAACAGATCTGGCTCACCATATTTTAATTCACTTTTAGGCTGTTGGCAAAAGACAGTGAAGATGAGAATGAATGAAAGAAAGAAATAAACTGCCCATGAACACCATCAAATAAAAGCTCATTTTCATGATTGAAATCTATTTTAATTTAGGCAGATAAAGTTAATAAATGCAGTTATAAGTTCCACACAATGTATTTATTAATGCTGTTAATAAATTTATTTTACATTATACATTCTGTTCTGTGTTTACAAAGAAACTGTTTAAGGTGGTTTGTAGCTGATAGGAATCGATCAGATCTGCCCGTTTATCAGTAAATCATGATGGACACCCTCATTATGGTATTTAATATATACTAAACAAGCACAGCAGTTTAGCAGCCTCATTACGCATTTAAGATTAAATCCATAAAGTGCTGAGCGAAATTGTATTGTTTATCGCAGGCTCAGAGTCGTGCGTTTTGTTGTGTGTTTTAATGCAGTTTTTGGAAATAGTCTTTTTTTTTTTTTTGTGCAAGTAAACAGCGCTGTTGCAAATTTACGCTGTTTTTCTTCCATAAAAATTGCCACATATAACAGTTCCACAACCAAAAATAATATTAAACGGCTATAAATATTGATTGATGGGCCTAATTTAAATATGTTCTGAAGCATTTCGAAATTGCATCTCTATTCATCATTGTTACCGATTTAGCACCAAAGCGATAATTTATTCGCTCACCTTTCGCCCACTCTTAACTTGACATGTCCCATTGCTGGAAAATATAACACCATGATGTCACCATGTATGAGTATGGTTTTTATTTTCAGTGGAAAGATCCACTATAAAGTGAATGTACAGGTCTGTCTGACACCAACACACTAACCCAACTCCCCAGCATACAGGAGATGTAGACACCTTTCTGAACACCCACACAACGTTTCAGAGCCGAGTCTGTTAATAGTTATTGTGACTGACATGCAAGTAAGACTGAATGAAGCCTTCACAACAAAAATGCAGAGCATCAGCATTACTCCTCCTCTGCATTATGATCTCTTGTCTAACTTAGAGTGGCGTGAAGTGGGTTTTTTTTTGTTTTAACACCTAGCTGAGCTCAGGGTTGAAATGGCTGCTTGCATGGCCCATGGGACCACAGCTTAGCTATCTTCATTACCAGATGAGAAACCACTTCCTATCAGGCAGAGAAACACATTGAGCTATAATCAAAGCTCACATTTTGCGTTATGCTTTGCTGCTCAGCATTCATATGATCTATTGTAACAGAGTGATTTAGCTTGGCAGATGCATGCATAAACGTGAACAAAGAAAGAGCAATAGAGAAATCTCAGTACTATACTAATGCGTTGCTGCAGAGAGGAACAATGACACTTGGTAGAAGAGTTTCAAATCACCAGCATCTGAAACACTGAAGTGACCGTTTTTGTTGCCATGCCAACCTAATATAGAACAACAAATGTCCTGATCATTTTATAATTTTAATTAAGTATTCATCAGGATATGTGACTGTTGGAGGCATTGCGTTTTGTTTGAACGTTTTAACAAATACACAGTTTCTAGTCAATATCTGATCTGCTAAGTTCATTGTAAACTTACAGGTAAAAAACATTAAATAGAATATTTAAAATTTTTACATTTAGCATTCATCAAATGTTAAAAAGGAGCAGTGTCACAACAGCGTTTGTTCCGTCAGATAAGAATTGCTCAATTTCACGAAGTAAAATCTTTCACAGAATCAGGCCAACAGTTCAACTCTAATACTACAAGTTCATTAGCATCATCATTTGATCGAGTCATTGTGGCTCAGTTCTGTTCTGCTTTTTTGTGTGAAACGGTTATGCTGTTTACCTGTTGCTTGTGAAAACATAAAAAAAACAGTTAACTCAAATCTTTGAACTGAACAAACAGTGGATATGCTCTGTTTTTAGGAAAATGTTTTAACTCATTCTGAATGTATTTTGGCTTCTGAAAAGTCGTTTCATTTTTTACATGTAAATATATTGTCATGGAAGGCTTTTTTTTCGTTTAAATAATTTAATGCAGTCAGCATTACACTACAATTGATATACAATTGTGCTCATAAGTTTACATACCCCTTGAAGAATATGAGAAATAATTGTAAACTAATGTGTTAATAATTTTCACAAAATAAGAGGGATCATGAAAATTGCATGTTGTTGTTTTTTTTTATGTAGTAGTCTTGAATAAGCTATTTCACATAACGGATGTTTATATATATTCCACAAGACAAAATAATAACTGAATTTGTAAAAATGACCCCGTCCAAAAGTTTACATACCCTTAAATCTTATTACTGTGTGTCATTTCCTGGATGATCCATGACTGTTTTTATGTTTTGTGATAGTTGTTCATGAGTCCCATGTTTGTCCTGAACAGTTCAACTGCCTGTTGTTCTTCAGAAAAATCCTCCAGCTCCTGCCCATTCTTTGGTTTTCCAGCATCTTCTGCATATTTGACCGCTTTCCAGCAGTGATTGTATGATTTTGAGATCCATCTTTTCACTCTGAGGACAATTGAGGGACATAATTACAAATGGTGAAAACATAGAAGGCTACACGATGCATTAAGAGCGGGGGTGTAAACATTTGAACAGGATGATGTGTACATTTTTCTTATTTTGATTAAAGATCATATTTTTTTCATTTAGTACTGTACTTCAGAAGCTACATAAATACATACATGTTTCCCAGAAGATAAAATAAGGACAGTTTACCCTGATCATCCAATTCAAAAAGTTTACACCCTCCAGCTCTTAATGCATCGTGTTACCTTCTTGAGCATCAGTAAATGTTTTCACCTTTTTTAATTATGTATGAGTCCCTCAGCTGTCCTCCGAGTGAAAAGATGGATCTCAAAACCCAAGTTTTTAGTGTTTTATTTGATTTTATTTGTTTTAATAGTTACTATCATATACTTGATAGTATCCAAGAAGGCGACACTAGTCTAAATCGACAAGAACAGAATTGAATTCGGAAGAACAGATTTTCAGATTTTCTGGGTTCACATCGACTACACCATTCAGTTGTACTGGGGGTACTGAAGTGAGGAAGCCATTACTCAGACGTTTGATGTCCCTAGCTGCAGCCTGCCACCTGCTGATTTCATGCAGCTGAGTGTTAGGAAGTCAGCTAACTGCCTTTCCCTTATCACAACACTATGGGGGAAGGGGGAGAAACCTCAAGAAAAACACAAATTCTTGGAAGAACACTTTAAATCCCTCGGCATCCCCATCCTCGGCCTATCAGAGGGCTGCAAGCACAGCCGAACGCAGACCACAGGAATTGAAAACACCTTTCCTTGTACTGTCTTACCTCAGTACCGCTATAACACACCCCTTTCTGCACCTCTTCTCCTTTTTCACTCACGCCGTCCTGTGTGGCTTGCCATAACTTCCAATACAGAGGAAAACGGCTCTTTGCAGCATGTTTGTAGCATGTGTTTTGATTCCCTTTTTAACAGGTGTGAATGTGGAGGGTAAACATGTTATGTAGTGTGTACATGTCTGTCCGATACCGCAGCTCCCCCAAGGCATTCAGCAGCAGTGAATAACACAACAGCATTTATAGCCTCACAATCTGTTCACATATATGTAAACCAATATGGCCACTGCACTCACACTTACTTCTTAAAGGGATAGTTCTCTCAAAAATGAAAATTGTCTATTTCTTCACCAAACCCCGTTTGACATGCTTCTGTGGAATGCAAAATGTGACTGTTAAAAAAATATCTTGGCATTTTAGCATAATGAAAATTAATGAGGTATGGAGCTGTCAAGTTCCAAAATGATGAAAAAGCTCCATTAAAGTATCTGTGTGCTTTATTACACAGATTTTCTACAACCATATGATAGCTGTGTGTAAGGACCAAAATATAAATTACTGACAATATTGACATCTGTTCTGGCTTTGTGCCACATTGATAAGAAGTGATGTCCAGTACATGAAGGAATAATACTTGTCAGGTCTTTCAGGGAATCAGTTGATACGGTTCCCAGAACTGGTCTCACTGATTCATTCACAAGTTGGACTGATCCAGATCTCGAGTTTAACTCGCTCACTCTGTATTCTAGTTATAACAGCTACCAACCCACTGAAGATGAAGACTTTGAAGATTGTAACACACTAGTCATATGAGCTACATTAACGGTACTTTACAATACTTTTATAGTGCATGGAAAAGAGCAACAGATATGATACTGAAATTATATTCTTTTATCCACGGAAGAGAGTAAGTCATACAGGTTTTGAACAACGTGAGTTTAGTTAAATGACAGAATTTTCATTTTGCATGAACTAATTCTATAAATGATTGCTAGTTGTTCTAGGTGGTTTGCATATTGTTTGTAAAATATTTTTTTTGTCCTTTCATTTAGAAAGAGGAAGGAAAGGTCCAAGGTCACCTCAACAACACAGACTCCAGCCAGTACATCCGAGACCTCAAGGATCAGATAGCAGATCTCAAACATGAGGTAATGTCTGTGTTTATAAAAAATTGAGTATTGTTTCAAAACATTATAAGACTATGCACACTTTAGAATAGATAGAATAATAATAAAAGCTAGGCCACAGATGACTTCATCTGTGAATGCATGAATAAAGTGTAAATAAACACTTGAAGGAATAAAGTTTGAATAAACTTTGGGGAAAAAATTTATTAAACAATTAATAATTTTCCAGGGGTTTTTACATGAAAAATATTGACTTGATATATATTTCAAGCAATAGTTACACGTGTAGTTTTGTGCGCTCCCTGAAGTCTGTCTTATTCTCAGAGTCTACTTTGCAGCTGTGATGTTTTACCCACCCATGAAATGCTTCTTTTCCTGCCTGATGGATGTTTTTGATCTTTGCAATTTGTTGTGTGGTTAGCTTATTTTTCACAAGCTTTATGAGTGTTTTGATCAGATTTGTTAGCTTTTCACAGGGTTTTTTAAGTGTTAACTACGCCCTGTGCGTGGCCTCTTCCTGCACTTCAGTTTGCCTGAACACACCCCATCGCACTCTTTAGCGCTACACCTATCCGTGCTGTTATAAGCCCTCCAATATCTGTTCTGTCGACCCTGTGTTTAAAAAAACGTGTCTGGACCTCTTATATAAAGTTGCCCTCATCAGATGTTTGGGTAATTAGGACAGCAGACAGATGCAACGAGATGTACACAGATTTTAGAGAGACATTTTCCCAGTTTACGTAGCATTACCTTGGCTCTAAACAGTCATTGGAGATGGTCCACTGAAATCATTTTTGATTAATAAGCAGTCAAATCTAGAATTTTGTAATAAAAATTAAGTTTTATTTATCCTTTATTCTCCCATTCATGTTAAAAAAGTTAATAAATGGACTAAGAAAAGAAAAAAAAGCTTCCACTTTAGCGCCTTCCTGTGTGACCCGGAACTGTTTTTGTACCAGACATTGATGCTCAGGGTTAAGATGAGCTCTGTGACTCTGACATGAGGCATTGCAGAGCCTTGGATCAGAGGGATTTTTATCATTGATGTGAAGAGGGAAGTGGCCACACAGAATTTCTCTTCGCTCGGTCTCAAGATATGTCTCCTTTCTGTAAGCATTCGTATTGTAGTTATTAATGAGTTGCACACAATTTTATACAAGTACCGTTCTGAATAGCAGTCATTGATAGGTAATGTTTATAATAGAGGGCTGAGGACTATGTTCTTCATTGGAATGATGTTCAGATTAACAAATTGACTATTTTGCATGAATTCACTTAGTTGCGTTCTTTGCATGACAACTTTTGATTGTCTGTAGGTGGTGTCGTTTTTGTGGCCAATGTGTTGTTTTGGTTGTTGCCCACTTCTGGTAGTGAGATTTCTGTGGCAGTGACGCACTTCAAACTGTTTAACATGCTACAGAGGACGTACTATGCGTAGATGACTTGCAGTCTTGAAAATCTAACGAATAATAAATTGATCAAAATGAATAATTAGTCTCAAGGTTAACTTCATGAAAGATCCATGAAAAATATCCATTCATCCATTTCCCAAACTGCTTGTCCTATGATTCTCAAAATGGGGGATCGTGAAAGAGGTTGCGAGACCATTTGTGACCCTGGACCACAAAACCAGTCTTAAGTGTCAATCTTTTTAAATTGAGATTTATAAATAATATGAAAGCTGATAAATATGCTTTCCATTGATGTATGGTTTGTTAGGATAGGACAATATTTGGCCGAGATACAACTATTTGAAAATCTGGAATCTGAGGGTGCAAAAAATCTAAATATTGAGAAAATCACCTTTTAAGTTTTCCAAATGAAGTCCTTAGCAATGCATATTACTAATCAAAAATGAAGTTTTGATATATTTACAGTAGGAAATGTACTCAATATCTTCATGGAACATGATCTTTACTTAATATCCTAATGATTTTAGTATAAAAGAAAAATCGATAATTTTGACCCATACAGTGTATTTTTGGCTGTTGCTACAAAGCCCCAGCGACTGAAGACTGGTTTTGTTCTCCAGGGTCACATTTAGTTTAATTTGCTAATTACAATAAATATTTTTTTAATATTACAAGTAAAGGTTACAAATAAATATTTTCAGATTTTTGAAGACACAATGGATATAAGTGTTTTAAAAAATATTATAATTTCATCGGGCCCATGATAAATAAATAAAGGCTAATTTAATAGTAAATTGGGTACATTTTCAGTAAGTGTTTTTATTAGGCATTAAGGAAACTGGTCGAATAGTTTATTTTGCAGCCCAATGATGTTTGTTATGTAGGTGGTACAGGTTGATATGGATGGTGGAAAGTTTATTTAGAATTTGACATCGCTAGCAGTTGTAAGCATAGTGTTTGGAAATGTGTTGACACAATATGTGCAGTGGGCATAATGATGTTTCTTAATAGAGGGCTGAGGACTATGTTCTTCATTGGAATGATGTTCAGATTAACAAATTGACTATTTTGCATGAATTCACTTAGTTGCGTTCTTTGCATGACAACTTTTGATTGTCTGTAGGTGGTGTCGTTTTTGTGGCCAATGTGTTGTTTTGGTTGTTGCCCACTTCTGGTAGTGAGATTTCTGTGGCAGTGACACACTTCAAACTGTTTAACATGCTACAGAGGACGTACTATGCGTAGATGACTTGCAGTCTTGAAAATCTAACGAATAATAAATTGATCAAAATGAATAATTAGTCTCAAGGTTAACTTCATGAAAGATCCATGAAAAATATCCATTCATCCATTTCCCAAACTGCTTGTCCTATGATTCTCAAAATGGGGGATCGTGAAAGAGGTTGCGAGACCATTTGTGACCCTGGACCACAAAACCAGTCTTAAGTGTCAATCTTTTTAAATTGAGATTTATAAATAATATGAAAGCTGATAAATATGCTTTCCATTGATGTATGGTTTGTTAGGATAGGACAATATTTGGCCGAGATACAACTATTTGAAAATCTGGAATCTGAGGGTGCAAAAAATCTAAATATTGAGAAAATCACCTTTTAAGTTTTCCAAATGAAGTCCTTAGCAATGCATATTACTAATCAAAAATGAAGTTTTGATATATTTACAGTAGGAAATGTACTCAATATCTTCATGGAACATGATCTTTACTTAATATCCTAATGATTTTAGTATAAAAGAAAAATCGATAATTTTGACCCATACAGTGTATTTTTGGCTGTTGCTACAAAGCCCCAGCGACTGAAGACTGGTTTTGTTCTCCAGGGTCACATTTAGTTTAATTTGCTAATTACAATAAATATTTTTTTAATATTACAAGTAAAGGTTACAAATAAATATTTTCAGATTTTTGAAGACACAATGGATATAAGTGTTTTAAAAAATATTATAATTTCATCGGGCCCATGATAAATAAATAAAGGCTAATTTAATAGTAAATTGGGTACATTTTCAGTAAGTGTTTTTATTAGGCATTAAGGAAACTGGTCGAATAGTTTATTTTGCAGCCCAATGATGTTTGTTATGTAGGTGGTACAGGTTGATATGGATGGTGGAAAGTTTATTTAGAATTTGACATCGCTAGCAGTTGTAAGCATAGTGTTTGGAAATGTGTTGACACAATATGTGCAGTGGGCATAATGATGTTTCTTCCTTTGATGCACTTATGGATCAACCAGTTTTAAAAGTCTTCAGTGTGATGTTTAAGACATCATATACAGCCACATGTCACCGCCATTAGTTTTTTTACCTAGACATTATTCTACAGTAAGAAAGCTAAATTGAATGTGGAACAGCAGAACAGAAAACGGAAAGCATTTAATTGATTTATACAGGGTGCAGGATGTAGTCTGATTTTCTCCTCCCTAATACTGACAACAAAAGGCTGGTGGTTTGCGGTCAAACAACTTTCTACTAAATCGTTCTTTCTCGAGCCATCACAATCCCTATCAACAGAGTGCAGCAAGACAGCTTTACCTCTTAAAACCTACCAGGTTCCTCTTCGTGCACAATCAAACAGCAGCATGAATCCTGTCTGTAGCCACAAACCCTTACGAACAAGACTGATTTGGATATTTGTGTGTGTGTAGTGAAGAGAGAAGAGCCATTTAATAATGGTACAGTTAAGATGTTTTTTTTTGCCTTTTTTGCTTGCTTTTTGCTTTAATAGAGTTAATCATATATTAAAATTACTCTTCTTTTTTTTTTTTTAATCTGATGCATAATTGATCTAAATCAACAATTTAGTTATAATTGTTTCAAGTCTAACTTAATGGAAACATGAAAAACATCCATGCATTTATCCGTCCATCTGTCCACCTGCTTGTCCTATATCAGGGATGGGCATATATACGGCCCACAGTGTCTTTTAGTACGGCCCACTGGATCATATTAGACTCGGATGATCAATTTTAAAGGTCCCATATTGTACACCATTCTGGAGTTTTATTTTAGGTTTTGATGTCCTTAAGAATATATATTTGTGGTATAAGTACCAAAATCCATCTCAATATATTTTTACAGCTCCTCTCTCAGGAGCTCTGCTGAGAACAGGTCGATTTTGGCCTGTCTAATTAATATTCATGAGCCTCTCTTCTGATTGGCCTGTTGTTTTCTGAGTGACGCACGGCCAGGCCAACCACAGGTAACTAGGGTCAGCCGACGTCACAGCGCTAGCTGGAGGCAGCAAAACAAAGGGGAAGCTGGAGGCAGCCCATTCAAACCAGCGCAGATTCGGCTAAATAAGAAGCTTAAAATATCATCTTGTTGTGATGTTGGGTGCCAGAATCGACGTAATACAGCCTCAAATTAGAAATTTGATCGCATATCTGCTGCCACTGCCAGACAAAAAACCGACGACAGCTGTGGTTAAACGCAATAAAACGAGCAGACTGGACAGAAATGATCGTCAAAAATGCTGTCGTTTGCAGGCACACTTCTTATCAGAAAAGGTTCAATAAAGTTTTGTCTTTTGTTGTTATGGGCGCGTCTACAGATTTCTTGCCATATGTCTATGTTTCTTGCATCTCACGACTATGTCGGGTATGAAATAATGTCTGTGTTCATGTGTATAAAACAACAAACTGACAATTTATATATAAACATTTGTAATTGTATATACATTGTTGTGATTAATTGTGGCTGGAACAATAATGTAGCTGTAAAAATAGTTGCCTGCTGAAATTGAAATGTATATACATCTTCATCATGACTAGATAGACACGGGGAGTTTGTCTTTACTATAACGTTATGTTAGATGTGACCCACCTCATAGTAACAATCCTGTCAGATCGTCCATCCTTTGAGTGAGAGTGTAACCTTACAGGTCAGCCGATCTGGTTTCGTGGTTAAAGCTTGGATTGTTTGGAAATCTGTATTTTATTTAAATCGCCATCACACCACTGCTCACAAACAACGGTGACGCCAGAGTTGCACTTGCCTCAAATTTCAAAGGTAAAATTCATTGTCAACAAAAGCTTTTTGCCAAATACATGACAGAAATGTTTGCATTGGACTAACGTGTCTTCTTTTATAGAAGTTCATACAGGTTTAATAAAACACGAAGGTGAGAAAATGACTTTTAATTTTGGGTGAACTATCCCTTTGAAGTTGTTTAAATGAGCATTTTGACCCCTTTTTCCCACTATATGTGTTTGTTTAAATGTTTGGTGCTGTTCAGAGATTGTGCATTGGTGTGTGTTTTGCAACTGTTACCTTTCCTATCGTTATCTTTTGTGAAGAAATGGTTTCCTGGTGTTTATTTGCATGTTGTCAAATGAAATAGCTGAGTTGTTAAAGTTTCAGTCATGCTGATGCTCTCTTTCTCTGCTCATAGATCCGCTGTTTAAGAGGGCAGCAGGGCTTACCCGACCAACCCAGTTTTGATGGGATTCATATAGTCAATCACTATGGAGGGGACGATGAATCCTACCAATCCTCTGATGAAGACGGAGTGAAACTGTCACCCCAGCTGACCAGACATCAGGTTAGAGGCCGGATCACACTACATGCAAACCTGGAGGACTCTGAAAGTGAGGGTGATGAGGAAGAAGATGCCCTACGACTTAGTGGCAGCCATAAGACAACTACAGTGTGATCATCTGGACTGGTGACACAAACTGACATCAAAGGTCTGGAAAGGAGAGCATGCTTTTAAGCTCATCCTTTAAATCTGCCTACAGCATTGAGCATGGGACTCAAACTGGAGAACTTGAAAAGCCCTCGTTCATCTTTACAAATGGACTTATGGAGTCATATCTTTCTCAAGGTCACGGTTTACATCTGCATTTGTTTTGTTTTTGCCAAAATGCGTCAGATGTTTGTCCTGGCACTAGTTTTTAATTTTAGCCTCAATAAGGAGGACTAATGGGCCGCTTTAGGCTCTTTGAGACCCTTGTAATAAAAATCAACATTTTGTGGCATGAGATTCTTAAACCTTAAAAGGGGGTGTTTTTAATACCCC